AAATTTGCATCGGGTTACAACCAACTCGGGATACGCCCAGAGTCACGGAATGCATTAAGTTTGTATCCTGAGGTACCACTGTATTTGGGAACAGGACAGCAAGGGGTTTTCAGAGGTCCACCTGACAAGAGCCAGGCTCTGCAGAGACTGTGAAAGCCCATGGTGGCATCTCAGGCAAAGCCATCCGTGGGCTCTCCTTTCAAGCTCTGAATGCGGAGCACACCCAACTTCGCTGCTTCTGGTGCCGTGAGAACTTTGACGTTGACCCTCCTGTGCCTGGCACTCTCCACCAAGGTGTGGTGTTTTTCCATCAAGTGCGTTGGGTAAACAGTCAAGGGACAGAGCTTGCCTTGATTACCATAATTGGTATCACAGAGAGGACTGGGTCCAGACTGCAAAGCCAGCAAGATAGGTATGGAGCTTGGCAGGAGCAAAGGGAAAGAACCAGCAAACTCTCGGGCAGAGAAATCTCAATCTACGGAAAGGCAGAGGTGAGTCAGAACATCTCCAGTGCTGGAGGAAGGCAGCCTCCGCCCTTTTGACCTTCTGCAAATTGTTAAAAGACCTGGTGGCATTCCCAGGCCTTGGGTTAGGATAGAGGTTGACTATTTTCTGGGGGGGCAGGTTTGGTTGGGTCTTCCAGTCAGCAATATTCTTTTTCTGATATACTGTATGTTGAGTAGTAGTAGTAGTAGTAGTAGTAATATAATAATAATAATAATAATAATAATACTTTTGACACCATCAAATAACACCATCTCAGGAAGGACTCGATAGGTGGATAAAAATGCCAAATCCAGTCTAAACATCTGTCTGACTCTGCGACCAACCATCATAATAATAATGATAAATAATAATAATAAATGCTTATGATAGAAGAGTGTGGGATTTGTTCTACAAAGGAACTGGCAGACTGGCAAGGCTAAAAAGCATAATTGGTATCTCAGCATGTTATGAGAAATCGTAATGTGGTTGAGCATGTCGTGTGAACCAGGGATTGTGTTTTCTTCACCCAGGCAACACGTCGTATGAGCCCAGCCACAACGTCCTGGGTCCATCCTGGCTGGGTAGCATCTGACTTCTGGATGATTAAAAGAGAAGCAGTGTCATCTTCAGCAAGAGAGACTGCGCTAAGAATCAAAAGCACAGGGATAGCCTGAGATTTTGTGACAGAGTCAGGGAGGGTATGCCGCAGGTGAGAGGGGTTGGACTGGCCAGCCCAGTTTCACACTGGAGCGTCAGCTTTCCATTCTCTGCCGATGGTTTGCGAAGGTTTCCATTCAAAGCAAGGTAGGTGGAGGGGCAAATCTCTGCCCAGGTAATACCTGTCTGCCTGGTGGTGAGAAATAAAGAGATGTGTATTGGAATTCCCTTCTTCCTGCTGGTTGAAGGAAGCAGCTATGGGTGTGCTCGTGCGCCGGGGAAGCACCCCCTGGGCACAAGCGCTGGAATAGCACTACACCAGCTCCCCTTGGGATATCTGCCCTTGGGGTAGCCCTTCTCCGCCAGAACCATCAGCTGCTGCTGCCAGGGAAGGCGGGGGGGGGGGCCTGTAGCACTTTTTGTAGCACAAAACCATTTGAGCAGCGGGTTTGGGGTTGATCCTCTTAAGACCACAGGGCCCCAAACCATGCTTCTGCCTGACAGTCGCTGTTTACCAGAGCTGATTGCCGATCTGGTGCGTGCAGATTCTGGGATTGCCATTCATGGTTGGCATCTGTTCTCAGATCGCCCTGGCATCAGCCATTTCCCCTCCCAGGGATGAGATTTACATTGACTTCTGGGTGAAGATTTAATCCTAAACGGGGCAGCCATGATTGCTACAAGATCTTCACGTGATGGTGGTTTCCAGAAGATTCCCTCACTTGATGCTTTCCTCGTGCCGAGTAGAACCAGGACGCAAATAGCTCAAAGTAGCCACGACAGCAGCTTTTTGCTCCTGCCTGTTCCACTGAGATGGTAAAGCAAAATGCTGCCTTCCTGTCTCATTAAAAGAAAAATTCCTGCCAGCACAGGCTGTTAATTTTGGCTGGAAGGAGGGAATCGGTCAAAGACATGTCCCTGCCACTCACAAGTCCGCAGTGCTTCCTTTGCGGAGCAATTGACCCTCTTTCTCTGTCACATAAAGAAAGATTGGGGGTTGGGGGGGAGAAGGGCAGCACACTCTGAATGGGGGCAAGAGATGGTTCTGCAGGATGCGAGATGCCCGTCTGATGCATTCATTGCCACAAGGGCTGGTGGAGAGTGAGGCCCTTTCAAATCCAAGGTTTGGATACACAGGATTTTGGCAGAACGTAATGTGTAATTCCAGTGGGAGAAAAATGACAAAGGATAAACTTGAATGAAATGTGGAATGTTCTAGGGTTACGTAAAAAGTGCCATAATGTATTTTGATCAGAACAGATTTCTACCTTGTCAGGAACTGGCAACTGTTAATTGTGTTCCCTGATTCCCCTGGATCCATTTCCAAGGCAACATCTTCCTTTTTCTCAAGGATTTTACTTTTCCACCCTTTTCATTCCTTCCCTGCCGGGGAGCTCTCTCCCTCCGATGCTTCAGCAGAACCAGTTTTCCTTTCAAAAGCCCACCCGCGGGCTGCCCACTTCGCTCCAGATCCAACCGTCTGGCTTGGCTAATGGAGGCGCTTCGAAGGCCGGCTAGCCGGCCTTCTCTGGGGTGCTCATCACCCCACCCCAACCTCCCCAGCCATACTTGGTGTTGGGCAGGGGCTGGCCCCAGCCTGTAAGGTCACTGGTGACTCGGTGTGTTACCCCAACCCGGAGAACTGGAGGAGGAAGGAATTAGCAGGGAGGGAGGAAGCCATCTGGTGCAACCTCCCCATTAATCCTTGTCTGGCAACTTCTAGATTAAAAGGCTATAATCACCCCATTCCCTCTGGGCAGTGGCCGGCAGGGTCTCGCCCAGCTGATCTCAGCACAGCCCTCTTCAGTGGTGCTGGGAGGAATCCGTTTCCTCCAAGGACTGAGGGGCCAGTGTGGATGTCCTGACTCCAGGCCAGAGCTGCCGAAGCCGCTTTCTGGAGGAGGGGATGAAGGCATGAAGAGTGACGTTCAGGCGCTTGGGAGCACCGCGTGCAGGCCTGTCCTTCCTGCCACCCAAGGGGCAAGAGAGCCAGGATTAGCCTGGTCCCAGGTCTCAATCAAGTGCCCCGCCATTGCAACGGAGGGGGGCTGTCCACTTCCTTCTGAGTCGGGCTCCTTTCTGCCCAGGACAGCCAGGCACCCGAGGCTGCTGGACACCCAGAGCCTGGGCAAGGGAACTGCTGAAATTCCTGCCCTGGGCCCTTTTCTTGGTGACTGGGAGGCAGAGAATCAGCGGGAGGACTGGCAGGGATGTACGGAACCTTCGGCCAGATCTAGCCTGCGCCTTCCACGTGATGGAGACTCTCCGTGCCAGATCAGGCCTCGGGGATCCTGGATCTCAGCTGAATTTGGCAGCTCAGCTGATTTATTTGCTGGCTCAGCGACAGCATCATCCGCAAGACACAAGACAGGATTCACCCTGGTCCCTCCTTTGGATGAAGCAGGGGTGAAGTTGACTAGCCTTTCTTTGCTTTCTCCTCCTGCAGTGGACCCCCCAGGACAGGAGGGTCAGAAGTGCTTCAGTTCAGCAGGGAACTTTGAAAGGTGCTCCCAGCAGTATTGCATTCAGCTGTCTCTCTGTTCAAGGGTTGCCTGCCCGTCGCCTCCCCTGCAGGCCCCTCGCAGCCTCCACCTCGTTAGGGCTACTTCTGCACTCTACTGGCGGCAGTGCCAGCGAAGAGGGAAGTTGTGTGCAGAGCACTCAGTTCCCGAGATCTATACCAAAGCCTGTCCACACATGACATTGTCTTCCTGAGATGAGAAGCAGCAATTGCTCGTTAAGCACTGCTGACGATGTCCCTTAGAGAATAACTGCTCTCAAAATGTTAGTGGCCTCCCGAGTTTGAGGCCTGGGAGGGGTGGTAGTCATGAGACCCCAAAAAGGACATCGCTGCCACAAGCAGTGTCTGTGGCGGGGGGGATGCTGCCATTAAAGTGGAGGAGCTACCATCTGCCCTCTGAGTGTGATGGGATGCAGTGAAAGATGGAGGCAGAGCCCGAGGAGATGCCCTATCAGAGCGGCTCCACCCGGGCACCTCACCATGCAAAGCATGGGGGCACCCTGACTTGCTCAGGCCCCTTTCAGGTTCTCCCCCCATTTGTTGATGTTTTATCCAAATCTGGTTTAATACTAATAAATCCAGAGATGGATTTTCTTCTGGCACACGAGTTGGCTTGGTCTCTTTCCTGGCAAGATCGATGTCCCGACTGGTCGACAGATTAACCAGCACCTGTATTAAGCTAGCCACAGGTCCTTGGTGCTCTCCTGCTCTCCTTCTGCACAGCGCACAGTCCTGGTATCAGGGACAGAACTTCTTCGCCAGATGGAATCGCTGTGGTAGCGCTGGGAAGATGCAGCAGGCCCACAACTGAAACTCCGGTGGGGAAGAAAGCCACCCACTCTCTCCCCCCCCCCCCAAGAGAAAGGAGTTGTAGGAAGGCCAAGCGGCCGGCTGGTCAACTGCTCTCAGACACCAGAACCTGCAGGAGGAAAGGCAGCCTGTGCCAACGTGCCATTTTCTATTACAAGTCAAGAAGACCGAATGTGGCACCAGACCATCCCTTGGCCTCATCCTATCAGGATTTTATGGCAACAGGGTGAAAAGCAACTGAAATGCACCCAAGAAGGAAAAGTAGAGAGGCAGGAATGGAGGGTAAAAAGTAACAGGCAACTGTTTCCTGCACTCATCCTTCACGGTGAGGCTGGCTGGGGATCAGGAGACGCAGGCAGGATTTATTTATTTTATTTATTTATGCATCACATTTATATAGCCGCCCATCTCACAGGATACAGGGGCTCGTGGAGCTAGACAGAAATAAACCACCCTGCAATGAGCAGAAGTTGTGACTGGCCCTTGGCTCGTGTTTTTCTGCAACGGTCATGGGCCTTCTGTGACATGACGGGAGTTCAGCCAATGGCCGGGCTTGCTCCCCCTCCCCTTCCCCCGCGGCTGTGGAGGCACCGGCCAGAAGAGGCTGCAGCCACCCCCTCAGGAGAAACAGCTGCTGCTGCAGCCCCTTCTGGCCACTGCCTCTGGTGAGCAGAGGGGCAGCGCTGCCC